AAAAAAAAAAAACTTTGCACGTTCGTCGACATCCGTACGCATCTCCCGCGAGTCTTCCGTATTGTGTTGTGCATTATTTGATTTGAGATACGAGCTCGGCCCTGGAATGGATTATGCTCGTATCTCAAGGTATTTCTGCATTTGTTAAAAAAAGCAACCTTTGTCTGGACTTCCATTTTTTTTTTCTTATGTACTCACCTCTGGTGATCCTGGACTCGAGCAAGAAGTTGATTTATCTGGAAGCACATGTGAACGTTGTTAAAGTACAGCCGACACACACCCAACAGTCTGTGCGCGTGTGGCGTCACTTACATCATACTTCTGCCTTTTGAGTTTCTCGCTCAGGTCAAACTTCTCAGCCTCCAGTCCCATCAGCCACTGCCACAGTTCGTTAGCCTTCTCCCTGATCACGAAACAACATCTCACTTCACCGTTTTTAAGGCTCAATGACTCAAAAAAAAACAAAAAAAACATCGTTTTGGACCCAGGGGTGTGGTGTATATAGTTACTTGAGTTTGTCCTCGTTCAGATGATCGACGTTGAGCTGCTTTCTGCGTTCTGCCAGGATCTTTTTCTTCTTCTCTCTCTCGGTCTGTTTCTTGCCTCTTCTGTTGTCACTCTGTTACATCACAACCAAAATATTGCTCTGTGAAACATTGTTCCATTTGTTTTTGCATTTAATTTGCTTTATCCTACATTTTATTGAAATAAGGAATAAAATAAAATCTGGCTGTAAACCTTGTCCTGCTGAGGTTTTACCTTCCGGTTCATTGCATTATCACTGACGCCCAACCTGAAGTGTCTGTGACCTACGTACTGATAACTACTACGGGCGACTTCGCAAACAGTAGCCTTCGCAAAAACTCTTAAACCGACAAATGTCTCTGTTGGTGGTTGGAAGTCACATGACCTTCTGTCCAGCACCGTAGTGCTGGCTCATGTTTGTGAGCGCCTTCTTCTTCTTGGCGTCCTCGTCCAGCTTCTTCCGTTGATCCTCCATCTCCTTGCGCTCCTTCTCCTCCTGCATGTTGACGCAGAACAAAAGAGGAAACTGATGATGATGATGATGATGATGCAACTTGCCTTGGATACGTTTCAACGTTAGCTTCTCTGTACGGAATTCGGGATGGAGACGTTTTACCGCCAGCCTGGTCTGTCTCTCCTTTTCCTTCTCGGTTCTGATCCTCTGCTGCTCTGCCCTCTCTGCACGACGCTTCTCCTGCAAGAGACGCCACAGGGACAGTTGTTATCAGTTGTGCTGATCCCGAACCAGCGAAAGAACGAGAAGCCCTCCCTCCATCGGGCCTACACACAATTCTGTTGACAAGGGCCAAGAGCTCCTCTTCCTCTTTCTTCCTCTGGATGAAGTGAGCCTCGATCAGAGACTGAAGCTCAGACAGATCTTTCTCCTGTCGCTTCCTGTGGATGTCCTGTCGATTTAAAAAAAAAAAAAAGGTCACAGAGATCAGTTGGGGTCTGCGGGGGAGGGGGGGGGTTCTACTGTGAATATTTTTTTTTGGGATTATCAGAATGATACCATCTTACATCAAAGTCCACCTTTTCTCCATCAGGGATCTTTGGGGCCGTTATATTCGTCATGAACCTGTAGTTAGGAAAAGTTTACTGTTGAATTATCTCCAAGGAAAAGTGACATTTTCATTTTGTTCTCATAATAATAATAATGATATATGAATGAACTTACTTTGGTTTAGGCTTTGACTCGTCTGGTAAGAGAAAATGGACCAGTGAGCAGCAGGTTAAAGTATAAGATGTAGAAAAAAAAGAAATACAATTCTGTGGTTTTTAGTTGATTTAGCTTCAGGTTTTTGACTGGATATTCAAACCTGTAATCGTACGTGGTGTCTGCTCACTGTTTTGTATTCTATTAGCTATTTATAAAAAGTCCCACCAAAGTTTTGCCATCCATCGCTGAAACATGACCCACGGTTTGAGAAACCCATCTTTAAAAGCTTAAATAAAAATGATACCTGTCGTCTCCTCTTGAGCTGGAAATTAAAATGAAAACATGAATCAATGAATTGATTAAATATCTGTGCAAAACAAAAAATTTTTGAATTTTTTTTTTTTTTTTTTTACCTTCTTCCTCTCTTTAGAAGTGGACAAACATTCACCAAAGAAAATAATCAAAACATAAACATGAGCGTTAGCTTATTTACCAGAACACGTTTAACAAACAATCAAGATTAAAGGAACACTTAGGAGAGAAGATACACATACTGAACTTCCTCCTCCTCGATTTCCTCTGTGTCCGACATCTTGTTGGAGGTGAGCCCTGCGAAAACGGAGAGTCTATTAATACTCCCGAAGACATTTTTGATCATAAACAACACAGCCGAGTGTGAGGGAGGACGAGTTCACGCTTTACAGCCTGTCCTGAGTTAAAGGTCTGTGCTCACGGTGACACGGTTGTATTATTATCTTCTTCCGCAGCAACAGGTGGTGGCTTTTACAATGAGGAAACATTCATTCATTCATTCATTCCCTAATCCAGCGCTTTATATCGTTTCACGTCATTTATCGTCACCAAAATGTCTCTAACCAGGAAAAACGAACGCATCCGAAAACATTCAAATCAACTCTGTTGTTCCTCGACGTCCTGTTTTCGGATGTTGAAAAACGTTTTCTGCTTTGAGTTCTGAATAAAGAATGCTAACTTTTTTTATATGACAGAGTTTAGAAAAATATTCATATGTACTTTGACAAAATACAACTTTTCTTGTATTTCCGAGATAGCCGCAATACAGTTACTGTATAGTTATATATATATTTTAATATTTAATTATAATGTTCTTAATGCTGTGATCCACTAAACACCATCACGGGATCAGAAACCATTTCAGAAATATTTATTTCTATTCTACATTTGACCTTCATGGTTGCAATTCATTCAGACTTTTGTTTCAATTGCTCAAGTAAAGTCTAATTCCAGTGGTTCTCAACCGCTGGGCTGCAGACCGCTATTGGGCCGTGTGTCATTTTAAGCATAAATACAGAGGATCTAATTTACAAATTATAAAATTGACCAATCGCTAACCCCTAGTTACACATGTCAAAATAAAAGTCTAGGAGTACGAGCTTTTTTTTTTACTGACTTTCAAAATAAAGCAATGTTGCATTTGTTGTTAAAGTTACAGAATATCACATAATAACAAGGATCCAGTAATCATTGCCTTCATCCAGAAACAGTGACACCAGAGCATCCTTACCTGTGACACTGACACAGGATCAGAGACAGACTTCAGCTCGTCGAGCTCCTCAGGCAGAATGAGCATCAAGTGCTACATGCTGCACCCTTTTTCTTACTCATGTGACTGTCGTGACCTATGGCCACTCAGCCTATTGTTAGACCAGGGCTGGGCAGTTTTCTACCCAGGATCATTTTTATCATAATTATTTATGACAAAACATGTAAATGTTTATAGAA